AAAAATTCGTTACAATCGGCAAAAACGTAAATGCAACGGCGAAGTCACGTGACTTCGGAGTTTTAAAACTCCGATCAAGCCCCGAAAATTTGAGGTGACACGAATTTTAAACTCAAAATTTCGTGACACTTAGTCGGAGTTTTAAATCTCCGACCAGACCCCGAAAATTTCTGGGAACTCAAATTCCGAAGTCAAATTTTCGCGACACTTAGTCGGAGTTTAAATTTTAAATTTAGTCTTCGCGACTATATATTTTCTTAAAGAAGGAAGAAAACATATAGTCGCGAAGACTAAATGCTTATTTTCTCGCGATCCTCCGAGCCGATTTTAATCGTCAAAACATATTTTTTGACGGCAATATACTTCGCTAAAACTTTCTTTAATTGGCAAAAAAAATCCGCGTAGCACAAAATCTATGTTACATATGCTATCACGGATTTTTTGGGAATTTTTTCTTACGCAGATTGCGCTTTATATTAAGGGACCCGGTAAAAATCCCAGGTCCCGAATCTTATCCAGGTTCCGCTTTATATTTTTAGATATTATTAGATCTTTAGATCTTTTTTGAGAACTGTTTACAATGCCCTGCAAATTTACAATGAGTCCATTCTAAAAATTGTGAATTTCCTTTATATTAGCAACATCACACGATAAACATATATTTCAGTAGAGTTAAAAGAATTCTTACCCGCAAAATTAATAAAGCATGGACGAACTCTTCTACTTCTTCAACCGTTTCTTTGTCCAACGGTATTTTCGCTTTAATAATGGGGAGATAATATTTTACCCCCTTTTCCTTTATCAAGCCGTGGATTCCAAGATACTTACCCGCGATATTAACAGCAAATCCTATATAATTTTTATAAAAGTTTTCTTTCGAACACTTCTTTACAAGCTCTTTGGATCCAGCTATACAGAATTGTGTTAATTTATTATGATCGTGAACCATCTTATCTTCGCCAGCACCCCATTTTCCGCCTTCAAAGAATATAATTTCTTCCCATTTCTGGCGAAGATAAGCACGAATCATAATATCAGGTTTATTGCCTCTCGATCCGGTTTTTTGATGAATCTTCCAGTTCTTACTGGCTATACTTTGCCGTTCAGACCTGGTAACTTCAACTTCAAAATCCACGGGCAAGTGATACATAGTCATATCTAATAGACGAGAGATGATCTCCACCAATGTATTTTCTGAACCCTCGGAAACTCTTCGAAGCGCATTCAGCTTAATTTCCTGTAAAAGAGCATTAGTAATTCCATTTGCTACGAGTCCCCTAACATGATCAGCTTCAACCCATTGATCATGTGTCACAATTTCTCTTGAAGCCAACACAGATTTCCGCGAATTTTGAACCTCATTTCTTCTTGATA